CTCCAGAGGTGAGCCATGAACTGGGGACTGGATATCTGGGGACCTGGGCTCCTGGGTCTGAGGGAGGAGAGGGCTAATAAGATCCCTCACTCCTGGTCTGAGAGAAAAGGACACTGGGAGGCCAAGATTGGGGAAGGGGGGAGCAGAGGCCTGGACTCTTGGGTCTGAGGAAAGCAAGGGCTCAGAGTCCCTAAGTGTCACCAGCTTACCCATTGCCCTTTTCCCCCCACCCCACCTCAGAACATTCACAACCATCGTCCATGGACTTGTGGAATTGGGATGAAGCATCACCACAGGAAGTGCCCCTGGGGAACAGGCTGTCAGGGCTGGGTAGGCTGCTGGGGCTGAGTCAGTGTGGGTGGGAAGGTACCTGGGTGGGGGCCTCTGCTGACTCCAGCCGGCCCTAACCTCCTTACTGCCTGCAGAAGGAGCTGAACTCGGCTTCTATTTCCCTGAACTGGCCCTCCAAGGGGACACGCTGACAGCGGGGACGTGCTGGAAAGGTGGCTGTGGGCTGGGACCCCTAGGCGCTGGGGAAGAAGGTGAGAGGCTGGGCTCCTGGGTCTATGGGTGGAAGGGGCCTGCCTGGACTGCCGGGAGAACAGAGAGGGTGGGGGCTTGAACTTCGGAGGTTGAAAGACCTCGAGTCCTAGGTCTGAGTGAGGAGGGGCTATGCGTAATAACTCAGTCCCTGACAAACTACTGGATGAGTGAGTGGTCGAGGGGCGTTTCTCGTCATTGCTCACACCCTTCCGCAAACTCAGCTACATCCTCATCCCTTGCAGGGCTCCCGAGGCTGGACGGGGACTCCACGTTACCACAGACAGAAGCTCCATGGGGGGCGGGTGAGTGTGTGCGGGGAGACGACCGGATGGGGGAGATTGGGGGGAGACTGTGGTCCTCCACCGTGGCTAGAGGGTTAGAATCCTGTCTTTGAAGGGGAACGGGGTTAAGACGGGGCACGCTTGTGTACTCAAAAGTGGCATGGCCTAGATGCGGGAGCCGGGGCTGAGAGCTTATACTCCTGGAACCCCCGAGAGGGCCCGGGACAGGGACACCTGGGCTCCCCTCACTTGGGATCGGTTCCTCCTCACAGAGCCCGCCCCTCAGGCTTTTCAGTGGTCTGGGGACTGCAGAGACCTGGAGCGCACTGGCTCGGGCACTTGGAGCAGCGTCTCGCAAGCCCTGGGCCCCGCCCCGGGCGGCCTGGGCCCCGCCTCCTTCGCTGGTTCTGAAGGAGCCGCTGGCCAGAACGTCACCACCTCGGCAAGTGGGGCCAGCTCGTGGTGGCGCGCCCCGGCCGTCGCCAGCTCCACCAGCTGGGACTGTTCTTTTGGCCCCGACCGCGCCACCTACTGGAGCAAGGGCCTCGGCGAGCAGCCGCGCGCGAGCTCGGCCATTTCGTGGGGACAGCCCTCGGACGCCGACTATACCACCTCCTGGGACTCGGGGCTGCTTACGGATTGCACCGCCTCTTCGAAGGGGCACCTGAGCCCAGATCTCACCACTCTCTCCGAACTGAGCCAGCAGCCGGACCGAGCAGCCTTATCTCGTTGTTACCCGAAATCTAACCACAGAGGTGAGAGGTCCGCGAGACCACAGCGTGTATGAGGCGGGGTCTGGGCGCCTAAGGGGGCGGGACCCGTGGCAGTGAGGAGGCAGGGCTTAGACACAACAGATCGAGAGAAGGGGGCGTTGCCTATATGCCTGGGTCCTGAGAGAGATTAAAACACTGGCAGCCTTCTAGCGGGCAAGGGATGAGGACCTAACCTCCTGGGTTAGGTGAGAGGAAAGAGATGAAGGTTTGGATGGTCCCCGAGGGCGACTCTTGGGTCCCTTATATGGAGGGATCCGGACTCGTTGGTTCCCCGAGAAGAAAGGGATCCGGACTCCTGGAACCAGAGTCGGGAAGACCTGGACCCTTGGACCTTCGAGCTGAGGAAGCCGGGACTCCTGGGTCATCGAAGCGATACGGTCTGGAGCCAGGAAGCCTGAGTGTTCACCTGCCTCCACTCCGCAGGTCCGATTCAGCTGTGGCAGTTCCTCCTGGAGCTGCTCCAAGACGGGGCGCGAAGCAGCTGTATCCGCTGGACGGGCAACAGCCGCGAGTTTCAGCTGTGCAACCCCAAAGAGGTGGAGCAGCTTCCCAGACCCGCCAAGTCCCTCCCTAGTCGCCCCTGTTCAACCTAGCCCGGCCATGCACTTTGCCTACTAGTTGGCCCCGCTGCCAGCGTCGCTCTAGTCTCGACCCCTCCGGGGTTACTGGGACTAACTGCTCCCGACTCTACCCGAACCCGCCCCCTGCCCTGTTGTCCATTCCAAGCTCCGCCCTCTCCCACCCTGTCGGACTAAGCGTGGAATCCGCCCTAGGTTGCGCGGCTGTGGGGCGAGCGTAAGAGGAAGCCCGGCATGAATTATGAGAAGCTGAGCCGAGGTCTGCGCTACTACTACCGCCGCGACATCGTGCTCAAGAGCGGTGGGCGAAAGTACACTTACCGCTTTGGGGGCCGCGTGCCCGGCCTCGCCTATCTGGACCATGGGGGAAGCGGAGAGGGAGCAGCGACCCAATAAAAATATCCCGTCAAACTTCATCACGCGTGCTGTCTGCATCCTTTACAGTAATACTGAGTAGACCCACTAGGGAGCCTAAGTAAGTGTGCGCCACCACACCCACATATCCCCTGCCTGTGTGATCCCAGACAGACCCAGGCCCTTAGGGAACCTTCTATGTGTGATGGGACATTCAAAGGAAACTGTGTACCCATAAGGGCCTACTGTGTGCTTGCCCTATGCTGGAACTTGTAAAGGAATCAGACCCAATCACTAACTCTCAAGCTGTGCCTCTTGGAGAAAGGATTCAGACTCCAAAAAGGGCTTACTGTGTGCCCTCCCAGTGCTTGCCCCCCAAAATCACCTATTGTTTCTCCAGTCCAAGCTGGGGGACATAGAACTCAGACCTATATACCTCAAGGATAGTCAACCCCATTCTGGAAACCATTGAGCCCCTGAAGAGATCCTACTAAGTGATCATCCTATGCAATTCAACAGGGACAGAGACAACTCTGGACCAACCCAGTGGGGACATGGACCCATCACCAGACAGCCCAGAGTGGTCATGGCTGGGATGGAGAAACTCCAAGGGGTTAAGGGGGCTAAAAAGGAGGGACCTGACCTAGCCTGGGGCAGTGTGGGTCAGGGAAGGCTTTGTGGAGGAGAAAACAGCTGATTTAAGAAGTCAGGTGGGCAAAGAATGTTCTAGACAGAAGAAACAGCATGAGCAAAGGTGTAGAGGTAGATCTCACAGCACTAACCAATAAATTGAAATACCAGTGCGGCTGGAGAGGGGGACATGGACCATTCACAAAGGTTTGTGGGCCACTGTGAGGAGCCTGGACTTTGTCCCAAGGGCACAGGGGAGCCATGGAGCAGAGCAGTTAGGCAGGGGAGGGATTTAGGATTTAGGAAGATCTCATTGAAGGGGGTGAATGTAGTCATATAAACACATAGTTCCACAAATAGTTAGAACGTTGATGAAAACAGAATGTGTAAGAGACCTCTGACCCAGTAGGCTTAGACACTGCACCCAGTGCAGTATGTGGGAAGCTTCAGAGGCCAGACTGAGGGGAGGAATGAAAGCAGTTCTCTTTGATAGCTCCTTCCAGTCCCCAGGAGCACCTTTTTCACACAAGAAATTCATTCAACAAATATTTATAGAGCTTCTCCTATGTGCCAGGCACTGTTTTAGATGCTAGATATACATTGGTAAATAAGACAAAAATTGCTCCTTTATGATGCTTCCATTATATTAAGGGAGACAAACAGAGATAAACACAATGAAAGGAAGGCTTTATGGTATGTGAGAAAATAAGTATTATGGAGAAATAAGTAGGGAAGGGAGATAGAACTGACAAGATGCCAATTTTAAATATCTGGTCTGAGAAAGTGACATTGAAGCAAAGACCTGAGGGAGGTGAGGGAAGAGCATTCCACTTAAAGCATTCAGGGAAGAGTATTGCAGGCCAAGGTGACAGCAAGTGCAAAGGCCCTTGGAGGAAGCCAGCTTGCATGTTTGAGGAACTGCAAGAGGCCAGTGTGGCTGGAGTAGTAGGAATAAATAAAGATAGGAGATACTAGTATAAAGGAGGCAAAAGTGTGTAGGTCATTTGTGAGGACTTTGGACTAAGGCTAAGAGAGAGAGAGAGCCAGAGCAGAGGGGAGGATTCTAGGCCAAAGAAGGGAAGTGATCTCACTGAGGTGTTTAACAGGATCTGGCTGAGTGTACTGGTTGTGGAGGACAACCGGTAAGCTAGGGGGCCAGGCAGTGGGTTACTCTAATAGTCCAGGCTGGAGGTGCAGGGGTGGCTTGAACCAAATGTGGCAGAAGATTCTAGATATATTGCTAAGGCAGAGCCAACAATATTTCTTGATAGGTCAGCTATGAGATATGAGAGAAAAATAGGAATTAAGGACAACTGTGTGACCAGAATAAGTTGCCATTTTCCAAGATGGACCAATTTCTGCCAGACACTTCACAGACCCAGGCTTTAACTCTTAAACCCCTCCTTTACAAATGACATTTGACAAATGATCCTGGGAGAAAGACTGGTTCGTTTTCAATCCCGCATCAACTGACCTCAGTAATAACGATAAAGGGTAGGGATTTTTGTGTTTTGCTTAGCGATGCATCCCCAACTCTTAAAGAAGTACCCCACATAGTATAAGCGTTCAGTAAATGATTCTTGCATGAATAAGAGCATTTCGCCGGGTCATTTTTCCCAAGCCCACTCTCTACCTAACCCCAGGACCCATAAACCATTTCTCCAGAGACAGACAGGGAGGTGATGAGAACCGTAACTTGACTCCTCTAAGTCCCAGCTCCGAGCCCTTCGAGACGCCACGCAAGCTTACTATTGGGCTGAAGTGATGATGAACAGGCTTTCAGCCCAATAGGAAGTCTGAGGTCACATGGATGGGCGTGGCCTTAATGGCTTCTGGGACCGGCTTCTCCGCACCCTCTAGCCGCGCGGAAGACTCCACTATACCCCGCCTTCGCCCGGCTTCCGGCCGGTCTTGATTCCGCTTCCTGTCCGACGCTGGCGTCTTTGCTGAGGGTCACATTGAGCTGCCGGCTGCTTCGGGGTGTTTTTAGGTGAGTGTCTTGGGCTGGGGAACCTGGGACCCCCATCCTGGGGACTGAGGGGCCGGGCCCTACCTTCCCTGAGAACGAGGGGAGGTTTCCGGCCTTCGGCGTCCGGCCTCCCCGGGCCCTGGGGTCCTGTTTTCTTAATAGTCGTAGCTAACGATTAGTTCCTCCTTAATTCCGAGCAATTTATATTAATTGACTTAATCCTCCTTCCAGCCCTATGATGTCGGCCCTGTTATTATCCCTTTTTTGACCGTTAGGCAACTGAGGCTCAGAGATACTAAGTTACTTAGCCAGCGACCAGGATTTGGACTCAGTCATTTGGACTGCTGTGCTCTTAATCCCCAGGCCGCCGGCCTGGCCCTCTCGTGCCTGGCCCCTCTTCCTGGTGGGACGTTGGAGGGGCCGTAGCGCCATCCCCGAAACACCCCCACTCCCAGATGGCGGGTCCAGATCCAGAACAACTCTTCGAGTCTTATCTTTGTCCCAGCGACTGGTGTTCTACGTCCCCTTCCCCGCGTCCTTCTCCCCTCCCGGAAGACTGTGCTTTTGCCCAGATCTCTACCACCACCTTGGGTTGCTTGATTTAACACTGGCCAACTCACCTCTGTGTAACCCTACGACTCCTCGAATTCTCTGGAATAGAGACAGTTGTCTCAGATTCCCTGGTGAAAATTGTGTATCACCTGAGAGACATTATAACAGAGTTTTTAAATAAACTCTAGGTCCGCAGAATTAATAGACTTAAAGGGGTGCTAGTACTTGAATGGGAGGAGAATTGCACATATTTTTACTGATCTCTAATTGAAATATCCTTCAGTTAGGAATGGAAGCAGCAACCTCAGTAGTAGTAGCATCTGCAAGTTTGTCAGCCATCAGAATCACAGGTCATCTTCTAGATGTCACAAAATATTGTTCTCATTCATGGTTACTTCAAAATTGTGGCAGTTAATCAATTCTCAGCTAAGTATAACTTGTTTTTGTGATCCATGCAATTTTTTAAATTAAAATGTCATTAACATACAATCTTACATTGGTTTCAAATGTACATCACAGTGTTAACAGCCCCTGTGATCGACTTATATTGTGATTGCAAATTATTATGCCCCTTTATCCCCCTCTCCTCCCCCCTTTACCCACCCCAACCAATTTTTAATGCCTTTAGACATACTCTGAAAAAGGACTCATTAGACCACTGAGGGGAGTTCATGGTACTAAAGAGATGAAGAACCTCTGCATTATAGGCTATGTTGATGACTGACTCCAGTTTCACCATGTGTATGCTGTATGACTTTGGGAAGTCACTTAGCATCCTGTTCCATGTCTATGAAATAGTGATAGTAATAGCTCCCACCTTATAGAGCTGCTGTAGGAGTAAAGTGTGTAAGGCAGTGCCTGGCAGGCAGTAAGCATTCAGTGAATGTTATCCAATGTTATTTCAGGACAAATAAGGCCTAATTTTACTAAGGAGTTGTCCCCATCCAGCCCCCCCAAAAAATCCTACTATGACTTCTCCACTTAGAGGTGTGTGGGATTTGCCCTACCCTTCACCTGTGTTGAGAGGGAGAGGGTGGTGGTTTGTTCACACCACCCCATTCTTCTGTGTCTGGGCCTGCAGTGGGCCCAGGTGGACTGATATCCCCATGCCCAGGCCCCCTGGAGCCCCTGCCAGCATGCACTCTCTTTGTCTGCAGGAGTCAGCACAATGGCAGAAGACATCAAGACCAAAATTAAGAACTACCAGACTGCCCCTTTTGACAGCCGCTTCCCCAACCAGAACCAGACCAGGAACTGCTGGCAGAACTACCTGGGTAAGCAGGGCATTGTTGGGGGGTTGCAAGGGGGAGATACAGACCTCCCCTGATTCCAGGCCTCAGATTGCTCACCTCTTGCCGCCTCCTAGGGAACTTATACATCCCAAGCCTCTTCTCTTTTACTCTGGACATCCTGCCTTGCAAGGCCTGTATCCCTCGTCATCAGCTGTGTTCAAGATCTGGATTTGGGTCATGAATTTTGGATCCTATAATGATTTTTTTTAAGATGTGTGTGTATGGGTGAAATATAACATACATACATACAGGAAATACATAAAACAATGTACAGCTAAATGAATAATTCTAAAGTAAATCCCCTCAGGGTAACTGTAACCTGGATGGATAAAAAACTAGATGCTGCCAGCACTCTGAGCTCGTCTGCCTACTGCACGCACTGTCTTGAAGACAACACCCTACTTTCCCCACTAGAAATAAATCCTACCAGCTTAGGGCAAATCACCTTTTGACTTTATCACTTCATTTAGGTTTGCCTTTCTGTGAAATTTGAAAATACTGTATGTATTCTCTTGTGTTTGGGCAACAGTTTTGAAGGTTGATCCATGCTAGGGCGTGTAGTTGGCTCGTTCTCCTGGCTGTACAGTTTTCCACAGCTTATTCATGGACACGTGTAGTTTTCAGTTTGGGACTCTTAATGAATGATGCTGCTATAAACGGTCTTAAAAATGTAATTTGATGTTCATGTTAGTGCTTTTCTATATAGGGAATGTGCCCTGGAGTGGAATGCCTGGGGCAATTTTTTTTTTAACTAATTGCCTACTTTTAAAAAGCAGATAATCCCCCTCCTGTCTTCTCTAGGATGCAAGCATCTTAGCATCAGGACCATCTTCCCCTTCTCTGGCCCTGATTTTTGACTTCCATAATCCCCACGATGCCCTTCATGCTACCCTATCATTCCTGACACGAGAATTTTCAAGTTGGACGGTAGTTCTGTGGAGGTTACTAAACGAGTTTAGTGAAGTGTGTCTAGTCCTTTTTAGTCCACTTGTAAGAGTAGGCATTCTTTGCAAAACTTGTTTTACAATGTGAGTATGTGTATGTGTAACTAGTTGTTTGTTAAGGAAGAAGTATATCGGTGAGCTGATGGAAAATATGTTCCAGCCCTTGGTCTGGGCTGACCTGAATCTCTTTCTTAACAGATTTCCACCGCTGTGAGAAGGCAATGACTGCTAAAGGGGGTGATGTCTCCATGTGCGAATGGTACCGGCGGGTGTACAAGTCCCTCTGCCCTTTATCCTGGGTATGTGCTTCTTCCTGGGGCTCTGGGGGGACTGGGGTGGGGTCCTAGCTGAGAGGAGTGTGGTAACCTGGTGGGAGGTCATCTGCCAGGGACAGAGGAAGGACGGCATCACACTCTGTGGGGCTTGGACTTTTCTTCTTCCTAGAATTGCCTTCCTTTCCTCCTTTCACCAAAACTCAACCACTGGGGCTCTCAGCCAAGGCGAGTAGGGCCATGGCCCTGCTAGACCATCTTGCTGGCTCCCACACCCTCAGTACCAGGTCCCTGTCCCTGTGGAGCCAATAATCTTGTGCAATTCTGTCCTTTTTTATTACAAACATTTTCAAATATACAAAAAAGTAGAGAGAGTAACTCAGTGACCCCCAAATATGCCCATTACCCAAATTGAATAGTTTCAAGACTTTTCCTCATTTCCTTCATCTGTCCCTTTTTCTTCTTTTCTTTGCTGGAACATTCTGAAGCAAGTCCCAGGTGTCATTTTCCCCCTCCCTACTTCACTAGGCATCTCCACAAACTACAGACACAATAAAGCAGCTCTTTTATTTAGAACTTTTCTCACCATTTAATACTCTTTGCGTGCCCTTTTTTGGACATAAAGAATTTATGTTTAACATTATAATTTCATTTAATCAGAGACCCCACTGACTGCAAGGAATATTGAGAGATGTTCAGATCTTTTTTAGAACATTGAAAATGAATGTAAAAAGCATGTTAATTTCAGTGATGTTAAAATTAAAAAAAAATGTGTCTTAGAATCAAAATACGATGCTATTGCAGAAGTAACAGTGCTCATTTAAAGAAGACAAATGTGAGCAGGCCAATAAAATAAAAAGTAGAAGCCCTCTGTGCTCCCCAGTCCCTCTCCCCTGAGCTAGCTACTATTAATCCGTTCCCTTTTCTCTACATAAATTTATCCTACATAAACCGGTAGAACTCTGTGCATGGATGTCTATAGTCTCTTCTATGACTTGCTTTGACTTATCTGTGTATTTGGGGGCCTTTTTTTATGACAATGCATATAGATATGCCTTTTTTGTTATAATAACTTAACAAATGTTTTTATTTACCTAGTCCCCTTTTGATAGAAATTATGTTCTAGTTTTTCAGTATTTTAAGCATCCTTGATAAACATTTTTGAGGCTTACTTCAAATTGCCTTAATGCACTTCTCAGCTTGCTTGGTTTTCCTCCACCTCTCTGGCCACACTGTCTCAAGTGTCTTTGAGTACCTTGTGCCCTCCCAGGGTTTCCTTGTCCCTGGGTGACCTGGGGTAACGTGATGGTGTGGTTCTGTAACATCCTTCCTTTAGCCTCAGGGTCTGCATTGTGTGCATGCTGAACAGGATTCCAGGAAACATGCTTCCAGGCCTGGTGCCGCCCCACACCCTAGTCTCTGGGACCTGGGCCTGTGCGGACCTGGGAAGGAGCATCAGATTGTGTGGTCCCTCCCCTCAGGTGCCTGCTGTGTCTGCCCTGTTAGGACTGGATATAAATGCACCCTGTACAGGCCCCTTTACATCCAGCTGCCCCGGCTTCTTTATTCCAGAAGCTTGGTAAAATAAAAATAGGTATTTCTTTTGCTATTTTTTTTTTTAATAAGCATTACATTCACTCCACAGAAACTTAAAAATAGAGGAAGAGGCAGAAAGATCTTCCTCATCCTCCTGATCTTGCTGACAGTATTGTAGTAGCTTCAAGGTGTTCCCTGTATATTTTCTAAAATTTGTCTCTAATCCTAGTGTATTTTGGGAGAGGTGGGGGTGGGATACCAGCACTTTTCTTATATGTGTTGAAAACATTCTTCCCAAGCATCTTTTATTTTCCAGTTGAAAAAAATTTTTAGTTTCTCAAGACAGAGAAACCCATTGAATGAGAGACTCACACAGAACTGAGGACTCTAGACAGAGCAAGTCCAGATAAGAGAATCCAGTTCTAACTATCCATCCCCACTCAAGGCATCAAAGAAACATAGCCTATAGAAGCAATAGAGAAATCCTGGTTTTTACCTTGCAGTCTGGTGCAAGAATTACAAAGGTTCACCATACTAAGTGTTCACAGTTGTATAAATTGGTCTTTTTTTTTATACAAAGAGTAGTTTAATAAAGCAAAGTACATACTTGAGGAGGGAGTGCAGGTGTGCTTCAGAGGTGAGCAGCAGGGTTGGGGGTTTCCACTGGACAGTCTTATAGCTAGAGTTAAGCACGGGTGGAATATTCATCGGGTTTGGTGGGGTATTTTTGGAATAGGGAATTTCTGGACACTTGGGTGACACCCTCTTTTTGTCCTTAGATGGTCTGCCTTGGAACTGTCATGGTGCCAAGGGCTGTGACTTTTAGTATGCTAATGAGAGTATAATGTACTTTGAGATGAAGTTGGGGTCAACTCCTCTGTGTTGGAACTAGTCAGTTTGGGTAGGTCTGGTATCTATACCCTCCCTCCCCACATCCCAAGAAAACAGTTTACATAAAATGTTCAGAATATAAACAAGCATCTGACTGAATGTAAACACCGGGCAAAGTCCCCAACCTCTTCCCTACTCATTCATTGTCTGGCTATCCACCTACTGTAACATTTCTGCCCTCAAGGAATGTGGACCCTTGAAAATGGGTGTCGTCATTCTTCTGTAGCTACTTCCTGCTGAGGAGGGGCATTGGCCCTCCCTATGAATCCCAGCAGGTTCCTTGCTGTCTTTGGGAGAGGAGGACTCAGAGTTTTCTTGGCAGTGGCCGTGGTAGACACGTGCACATAAAAGGAGGATGCAGCAAGGTTGTAGGGTTGTTGATGTGTCTCTTCATCAGTGTGGCGGGTAGGTTGAAATCCCAACATCTGGAATTGGATTTTTTATAACCTGGAGGAAACAAACTTGACAAGGAGATTAAGAATGCATGGCCCGAATATGAGAACTAGTAATAGTAGGACTCCAATTGAAATGATGGGAGAAAATTGGAAATGTTTGGAGAGTCATAGCCAGATATTTTAAGGAACCAGAATTTAGGATCCAGTCCATTTTGCAATGACCAATATTAGAATTTAATACCCATAAGGGTGTACTATTGAAATACAATTCTTCTCTCTCTAAAATCACCCTCATTTTTATTAGGGGTAACCATCCTAAGACTAATTTGTCTGTAAAATAAGATCAGCTTCAGAACACTTGGCCTGATTATTTACATAAATACAAGAACAGCCACTGATCACACAGGCCTTTTTTTTTTTTTTTTTT